CAGGGCAAGAGGGTGAGGGGTCAGAGGCCAAGGCTGGGAGAGGCTGGAAGGAATCTGTCCTTCAAGGCCCCAGCACCATGCTTGATACCAGGGTCCTGTGGGTTTGCGTTTGTTTCCTTCGTGTTTCACTAAAACACCCTGCTCTTTGGAGGGAACACCAGAATCCTTGGGGTTCTCTGTCCACAAGTCAGTGGAGGCCCATCCTTCCACTTCAGGACACCCTGTGAGTGCTGGGAGGCCATCGTGTGGTGGGATGGTGGCCACGAGGAGGCTGGAGGGGAAGCAGGGTCACCCCGGGACCCTACAGCTGTCTCATCACAGAGCCATCCAGAGCCACACGCTGGGCCCGGGCACAGCTTCCTCTGGCCACAGCAGCCCCTTGGCCAGCGTTGGCAGCAGCTGCCACCACCCTGGTCCCTGAGGACATCAGCAGGGAGAATGGGAATGACAAATGGCTTGGGCTTGGGCACGTTTGCCCCGGAGCTGTCACCTTTGAGTTCACACTGTAGACTGTGTTTGCTTCAAAAGAAGGGGGCACTTCCATCGTCTTTCGAATCCCCAGAGAATCGCAATGCAGACAGTATGGACGAACCCAAAGAAACAGAGCACCAAATACCGACTGCACGAAGCTGTGTGCATTTCCAGTGTGCTGCTTAGGGAATTGCTGTGTGCAAGTCCCCTCCCGAGGTTTGCTCGGAAGAATCGGCTGATGATTTCTGAGACATCGCATTTGGCTCCGAAGTAAACGCACCTGCAGAAGGGGAAGATCAAAGACATAATCACGGGCTATATCAGTGTCCCATTTTCTTCGCTTGTAACTGACAAACACCCGCAGTGGCTGTGGTGGGAGCTGAGCAAGAGCTGCTTCTTTCAGGCTTTTCCAGAGGGCGGTGAGGCCCCAAATAGGAAGATGAGGTGCGCAGATCTGCAATTTAGAAAGATTCCTGTGGCCTCGAGGGTGAAAAGTGGTCCCTGGGATGGAGAACAGCATCCCTGAGAAGCTTGGATCCACGAAAGCCCGCAAAACAGCGCCGCTGTGCTCGCCCTCCCAGCGGTGCGTGACGCAGCTCAGCGGGGCATGGCGCTATCCGAGGCGGTGCATCCCGGGTGTGAGGCCCTCTTCTCGTGTTTCAGCGTCTTTCCTGAACAGACTAGGGGCCATGAAGAGCCTCGAGCCACTCCCGGGGGAGCCCCAGCCCTCCGAATCGGGCACGGGGACAGGCCGGACCACAGGGCCAGGGGGACCCATCTCCCAAACAGACACCGACCTCTGACTCCTTCTACTCCTCCGCAGAGTTCCAGGAGCACGAAGTTTGGGTCCAAGAAGGCCCTGTACACACGCTAAGTTTCCCCTAAAGTTGTCTCCAAACTGTACCCTAACTTGACGTGCAACCTACCCGGGAACAAACAGAAGAGCCTCAACAATCAAACGCCGCCAACGCTTCAAACCACGCACAACGCGCTGTAGCCAGTCAGGGCTGTCTGACCTCACTTCCGTTTCTCTACGTCACTTCCGTTTCTCACATCACTTCTCTTTCTCTAGCTCTAAATGCAACCTGCCCCAGCAGCAGGGCAGAGTCTTCTGAACCTGGAAACACCACCTCTGTTTTATGGTCTGTGCTGCTGCCCTAGTTGCAAATAAAGCCCCTTAGGATTTGTGAAAGAGGACTTGTAATTTTGTCTTTTAGCACTATTAGGAGCCACATCCTGCCAGAAGAGTTTCCTCAGCTACCCCTCTCCCTCCCTTGTCCCCAGGCCTCCTTCTCCCTTAGCGCCAGTGTCACTGTAAGGTAGCATTTGCACTGCTGTGGGTCCCCGAAGCCCCCTCTTGGCTGAAGCGCTGCTGGGCCTGCAGTTGCTCCTCCCCCTCCCCCTGGCTCCCACTTTAGTTCTCGCACTCGCACTTCTCAGGCGTGTGGTTGCAGCGCCCCAGCTTCTGCGGGACACTCTGGTCACTCAGGTGAATGGCGACACAAGTGGACACGAGCCTCAGGCCATTCTGGTGGGGCTCCAGCTGCCCCGTGCTCCCTGCACTCCACACCCAGCTTCCTTCCCTGACTCCCTGTCCTGTGCACCTCAGGCCCCAGCATCAGAAACAAAGAAACAGCCTTAGGAAGACTTCTTAACCCCCTCCCGGATGGCTCCGGATGAGAGTCTAGTGTTCCTGCTTCTGCCTGATGGTGGCGTAAGGCTGCACAGGCACTGGTGTTGCTCGTCTGCCTCCGCCTGCAAGGCAGCAGTCCCCATGCTGCCTCTGAGCTGAGTTCCCGAGGCCAGGACCTGCCCTATTCAGACCAAACTGTCTGCCCTGAACATCCCCTAAGTTTTCTCCCGCTAACCCATTTATCACGATGGTCAAATGCCTTAGTAGTGGAGTAGCTGAGACTTTGGAATCTGAAATAAAACAGATTTACAGTTAATTCTTCATTTCTGGCATTTTCAAGCTCACTGTCGGTCGAAGCTCAGAGCACAGAAGCTTGGCCCTGCAATGGGTGCTAAACCTTGTTCTTGGCCGGAATTTTGAGTTTCACTGACAGAACTTGATTCATAGGGAGCCTGTATGAATTCAAGTGGCCTTCTATCAAAGGCCAAACGCAGAGGGTTCTGCTGAACAAGTGAGAGTAAGTGCCTTGCTCAGAGCGCCGCGGACTCAAGCCTGTCCTGGGTCATCCCGAGGCCTTCGGCTGTGCCTTCTCTCAGCAGACCTGCGTCTCCTGAGCCTGAGGACTGGAATTTCTAACCCCCTGGGGATGTCAGCTCCCTGGGGCTCTCTCTGATCCCATCCTCAGGGGGCCTCAGATTGCCTCTGCCCAACAGAATGGGAGATGGAGATCGGGGCCAGGGTGGTGATGCCAAGTGACTGCAGCGGAGAAAGGCAGGGCCGGCCCGAGAGTGACTCAGCCTCCCTGGGATCCCGCCCCCGGGCCATGTCCACTACACCAGTCCAGAAAGCAAGAGTCTCGCTTCTACGTTTAGCTCAGCTGTGGCAGTCAGCAGAACCAGACCCACCTGGATTTTGATGAGTGCTTTTTTATTCCTCCCAAGCATGTTAATGAGAGAGAGAGAGGTTCCAAGTAAGTTTTCCAGGACCAGGCTTCTAGGCTTGAGCCTGGCTCCACAGGTTACTAGCTTTGGGCTCTCAGGAAATCTGCTTAACTCTCCAGACATGGGCGCCTCCCCTGTACCTCAGGAACCGTGGAAACCACTGAGCTCTTGTGATCGCGTGGCAGGTTAGTGACCATGGCAAAGCACCTGGCCTGGAGCGGGCCGTTCAGCCTCTTGGTCTTGTCCTGTTGGTGATTCCCATGTGCCAGGCAGGGCTCTAGGGACACCAGGGAGGCAGCAGCGTCCGAGGAGGGAGACTCCTCGCCTTCAGACAGGGTGACCGTGCGTCCCAATGGGCCGAGCGAGGACTTGGGGCCAGGCCACCAGCGAGGTCCTGACCCCACCTGGGATGCAGGCCTGACCGACCTCTCTGTGCTCAAAGTCCTGGTCTGCTCCAGCCTGGCATTCGGGCCCACACAGGAAGCGTTTAGCTGCCCCGTGCCTTGCTCTCCCTGTGAGAGGCATGGCACGTCGGTGGTTCCGCTGAGTCGGCGCGCGGACGCTGCTGATGCCCAGCACGGGGAGGAGAGGGGGGCGTGGGGGATTGGGAAGGCGCCGTGCGGAACAGGGCGTTCCCGTGAGCCACGGGCCAGCTCCCCTGCGGCCGCAGTAGGAGGAGCGCCGAGGGCAGGGACTGTCCCGCGGCCGCCCCCCGGATGTGGACGCCACCTTCTCCCCAGGTCCTCACTGGGCAGCCCCGGATTCCCAGGGGCACAGGCAGGAAGCGACGCCTCAAGGCCCAACCTAGCGGCTTCTCTCATCTCAGTCACTTCTATGAAGTCGGCATCTCCATTCAGACGCGCCCTGTCCTGCTGGGATCCAGTCGGACCCGGGAGAGACCCAGAGCGGCCCGAGGCCGGGGGTGCGAGCCAGGGTGAGCTGAGGCGGGAGGGCTCGGACAACCAGAGCTTGGGTCCCCCTGGGGCAGCAGGGAGCCCCCCGTGGACATCGGGGAGGGCGGGAGGTGCTGGCCAGGCCTGCGTCCACGCCCAAGGAGCATGGCTTGGTCTGGAGGCCCAAGAGGCCGTGCGGAAATCCAGGCAGAGGGCTGGACGCAGCTGGGCCGGTGGTCCGGACGGCCGGCAGAGGGCAGCGGTTCGCAGCCAAGTCCTCCAGCAGGAAGTCCGCTTCCCTCTCCCAGTGGTGAGACACCCACGTGAGCGGAGACCCCAGGCGTCCTCCGGTCCGCCCCCGGGGAGGGGCCGGGTCCAAGGCCGCGGCCTGTCTGTCTCCCCCCCTTCTGTCCAGTTGTGCGGGTCTAGAGTAACTCCATGTGCGCCCTCTACTGGCCACCGGCTGCAGTGCTCCGAGCCCCGCGGGGCAGCCCTGGGCCCCGGGAGCGCGTGGGGCTGTCCGGGAGCAAAGCCCGCGCCGGGTCCCCAGCCTTCTCCACCGCTGGGGGGAGTGTAAATCAGTGTGAAGGTTCTTCAAAAACTGAGTTCCATTTAACCCAGTTACTCCTCTTCTAGGTGTCTTCCCAAGAGAGTCAAAGTCATCACCGTATGCACGCCACGTTTATAGCAGCACAATTTATAGTAGCTAAATCTTGCCCATGGACTGATAAACGAATAGAGAAATGCGCTACAGCGTTTATATACAATAGAGTACTACTCTGCCATGAAGAAGGACACCCTTGCGGCATTTTTAGGTAAATGGATGCATCTCAAAACCAGACAAACAAGTTCATTACATTGTGAGAAACTGTAAGTATAAATAAAGAGCAAAATGGAGGACAGATATTAGCAAGCAAGAACTTTTTAAAATGGAAAAGGGAACAAGAGATGAGGGAGGGGGAGGGAAGGAAGAGAAAGGGATTTAAAGAAAAAAAGAGTTCAAGGAAAAAATAGTTTCTCCAAATGCAGAGAGGAAGAAAGGTTGGCAGAGGGGAGGGGAAGGGGAGCATAAAAGAATTAAGATGTGTTATGAATGTGCTCATTATGTACTGCAAACCTGTGCCAATAAAAAAGGCTGTGGAAGGGCTGGGATTGAGCTCAGTGGTTCCACTGCCTGCCTCGAAACCACAAGGTCCCGAGTTCGATCCCTGGTAACAAAACAAACAAACAAAAAACGGCTGTGGAAAAACCTGTAACCTGTCTATTAGCAATGTTTTATATTGATTCTATGGTATTCTGAATATACTGGGTTAAATAAGTTACAGTCTTTTTTTTCTTAGTTGGTCTTTTGAGACAGGGTCTCGCTGTGTAGTCCGGGCTGGCCTTGAGCTTGCGGCAATCCTCCTGCTTCAGCCTCTCGACTGCTGAGGTTACAGGCTGCACCACCGCGCCCGGCCGAGACACAGTCTTAAAAGCAGTTCCGCCTGCTCCTTTTCTTGCCGTCTTAGTGTAGCCCCTAGGAGATGTTTTAATGGCCCGTTCTATTTCTTCATTTCTCCCTGGCCTGGGCTGCTGGCTTGGCTGACTTGCACGGAGGTAACAGCGGGGCAGAGGCTGGGAGGAGCAGAGGGCGGGGCGATCGCCTCCTTCGAAGGCACGCAGTCCCGGAGTTTCCAGCCGTGTACCTGGGGGCACAGCTGCCCTGAGCGTTCGCGGGGTGTGGCCGCCCCTGCCCCCCCCAAATGTCCTCCGCCTCTAACTGTGACACCGCCAAAGGTCCCGGGCCCTCGGCTGAGAATCCGCGTTTGGAAGGTGATGTTCTTCAGGGCGAATCCTGTGGGCTCCCCGGGTCCTTGAGGGTTCCCTCCATCCCGTGCGGGCCTCGGGGGGACCTAAGGGGAGGACGCGTTATCGTCCCCAGTTTGCAGCCCAGGAAGGAGGCACAGAGAGGTGGAGCGGCCCGGGCTCGCGGGGCACAGGTCCGGGCAGGGGTTCGGGCCGCAGGCAGGTGACAGACCCGGGCCTAACTCCCCTCCCAGCCTCGCAGTTCACTCGCTGAGCACGACCGGGCCTCACTCGGGCAAGGGGGCGAGGCCAACGGGGCAGGAAGCCAAGGGGCTCTGTGTGCGGCCAGGTGTCTCTGGTGACTGCAGCGGGGTCACAGGGTCCCTGACAGGCAGCGGCTGCGGCCCGAGCCCTTCCTGTGCGTGGGGCGCATTTCCAGGAGCTCCTGGCCCGATTCCGAGCTCCCCCAAGCCGCGTGGGGCCCCACGGTGAGGCCGGCGGGACTCCCAGCCCTGAGCCCCAGCCTGAGACACCGGGCTCGGCCCCTCTGCCCCACACGGGCACTGGCGGGGCCTGGCAAGCCCTGAGCAGGCAGGTGGAGCGTCCCGCACTGTGGCGAATCACTCACTAATGAATCATACCAGATGCTCCATTTTTTAACGCAATAGTAATTTTTGCACCCATTTTTATGCAGCTTCCGGTCTCCAACCACGCGAAGAGGGCACATCAGTGTACTTAAAAGCACCGACAGGAGCCAGCCTGGCATCCCAGCCTTCTGGAAGGCTGAGACAGGAGGATCGCAAGTTTGAGCCCAGCCTGGACGACTTAGCAAGACCCTGTCTGAAAACAAAAGGTGAGGAAGAGCTGGGGCGTAAATCCGAGCGAAGGCCCTGAGCTCACGAGCACCGCAGCGGCGCGCACCCACGCCTGAGTCCTGGTTTCCCCAGCAACAGCGCGGCCTCGGGTCAGTTCCTTAGCTGCCGCAGCTCAGCTTCCCCAGCTCTGACGTGGGGACTGTGAGCCCAAAATAAACCCAAGGAACGCCATCTTGGCCTGTAGATGAACTCCCCTCATGCATAACTGCTTGTTCTGCTTTTGTAAACTGACGGAGCCCGCCGTCACTTGTCGAACAGCACCTGAATGGGGGAGTGAGGATGGAGAAAAAGATAGACAAAGAGATAGAGTCGGGAGGGCTCCCAGAGACCGAGCGCCCAAGTTTATTTTTCTCCTCTCTTGTGCAGCAGGTGAGTTTGGTTGTTAATCATGACCCTTATCCAGAGACACCTGCTTCCTTGTTTTCTAGTTCTTTGGGAATTCCCCACCCTCATGGGCTTCCTTGTTTCTCGGGGTTACAGACCGTTCATCACGTTCCAGGTCAATCTAATTAGGCAAGGACTCGGCTCCTCATAACATCGTCTCCTTGCTCTGTACAACGGAGGGTAAGATTCAAAATGGAGCCTCTTTGGCTAACACCGCTCTCCACAGTAAACTTGCTTCATCGCTTCTCGGAAAGAGATAGTGCCTGGTGCCTCCCTTTACTGTACATTGCCCTAACCTGACACAGCGAGATAGCTGAGTTGGGAAAATACTTTTGCAACTAGTCAAAAACATGTTAACCTCCCCTTGAACTTCTCTTCCTAAAATAACACCTATAAAAGCTATGCTGCTATGACACCCTATATAAACTGTGCTGTTCCAGGACTCGGGGCCTCACTTCGCTTAGGGAGTGGAGTCCATGCGCGTGAATAAACAGCTTTCAGTTTAACTTTGTCGTTGATCCCAGTGTTTGGTGGTTTACCGGCTCGATTGGCACAACAGGGATGGCGCCCAGGACTCCGCGAGCTGCCGCGACCCTCCGAGGAGCGCACACACAAGGACCCTAACCTAGGGCGGATGCCGCGGAGACCCCCACGCGGCCCGCCCGCTGCCAGGGATCACCGTGCCGCACCGAGTCCTGCAGGGCACGGCCGCCGCACAGGCCCCTCCAGTCTCCGCCGCCATGGTGCAAGCACGCGGAGCAGGATCCAAACCGCAGAAATAAGAATTTCCGGTTTCTCGTGACAAATCAGAAATCCAGTGAACTGGACAGGTGCGTGGAGGCCTCGGTGGGGTCCGCGGTGCTGCCCACCCTTTCCCGCCGGCCCCTCCACGCCTGCTGCCCACCATCAGGCGGGATTTTCAGGAAGCAGCTTGGGCCCCAAGCACATTGGGTCCTGAGAGCAGGAGACCCCGTTTATCAGAGTCCGTGCGGGAGTCTGGGCCTCAGGCTTGGCCTACTGCACACCCAGGTTCCACCCTGGCTCTTACAAATAAGTGTAAAGGAGGACGGAGGGAGGGAGGGAGTTCAACTTAACTTTCACCCTAATCACCACGTGACATCATTTTGCCGTATTTGAGGCCCCCCCCCCGCCCCATCTCCTTAATGTAAATTGCAGGTATCACTCATCTTTGCCCCAAAATATTACAGTGTAGATTTTTTAAAATTAATTGTATTGGCCCATTTTAGATATACATAACGATCACATTCATCATTGGGAATTTGCACCTGTACATGATAGATCTTGCTTCTTCTTTTCCCATTCCCCTTGGACCCTTTGACTCCTCCTCCCCTCATTATATACAAAAGCTTTTTTCCATTTTTCCTTCTATTCTTTTTTTTTCTTGTCCCTTCCTTCCTTTCCCTCCCCTTCCTTTGTTCCCCTTCTCATTTGAAGATTTTCTTCCCATTTCCCAACATCCATTATACATTTTTGTCCTTATTTACCCTTTCAGTTTCTCACACTGTTCCGGAATCGTGGAAAGAAATGCACGGGGACACAGAATTTGGGTAAAAAAACAAAACCTTTACTTGCAAGCGAGTGGGAACACCAGAAACTCATCTGATCAATGTCTGCCCCATTCTTTGTTTTAACATTTCCTTTTATATCTTCTTTTAGCCTTTACCTCATTCCTGGTGGTCTTAGTAAAATTTCTAGTTCCCTTTTACAACTAGTTCCTGTTAATGGTTATAGTCACAGACATATAACAAATAGATGGCGCCTAAAAGACATACATTGTAAACTACCCAAACATTTCTACTTTGTTTTTCTCCAGGTTCAATGTTATCTACAGCTAGGTTATAGGTCAAAGTTTCAGTTAGCCATCACCTTAAACAATATGAGTTATGGGAAAGGTAAATCTTAAAGGAATGCACTACTTATTCTACTTCAGCTACCTTAATAACTAACCTATAGTTTAAATTTTCTCTATCAACACCAGGGAAACTGTGGTATTTAAACATGTGTGTCCAATTTATCTCACTTAATATGGTCTCAAGGTGTATCCATTTAGCTAGAAATGTCTTCAGCTTATCCTTCTTTACGGCAGAGTAATATTCCATTATATATATGTTTTAAAAACCACATCTTCTTTATCTATTCCTTGCTTGATGGGCACTTGGTCTGTTTCCAAGATTTAGCTATTACACACTGCTGCTGTAGACATCGGTGTGCATACATCGCTGTGGTATGATGCTTTTAATTCTTTTGGCAAGACACCCAGTATGGACTTTCTAAAAATAAGGACATTCTCATTTAGAGGCACAGTACAGTTATTAAATTTAAGAAGAAAACACTTCTTTGTAGTACTAAGGCTCAAACCCATGGTGCTGTACCACAGACCTATATTCCCAGTCCTTTTTATTTTTAAATTTCACACAGGTTCTCACTAAGTTGTCCAAGTGGGACTTAAGATTGCAATCCTCCTGGCTCAGCCTTCCTAAGTGCTCAGCTTCAGTTTGATAAATGTATCACTGTTACATCATAATTACTGCTGGACAGCCCGTGTTTACACACCAGTTATTCCAAGAATTTACTGGGTAGCATTTTCTTCCTGGCCCTGAACCAGACCCAGGATTTTGCACCCTGGTTTCTTTAATTGGCCTGGGCCCCTCAGCCGAACTTTCCCTCTGTGACCCTGGCATCCCTGACCACGAGGCTCAGACCTGCTGCTGTGCGGGTTACGGTGCAGCTCCCAGCCAATCCTGGGCTCATGGTAGGCTGTGGTCTCGCAGTGGCCAGGTCGGTGTGGACACCGCAGTCACTGCCCTGCCAAGTGGCATCTGTGTAAAGCCCCCCTGTGGCCCCAGAAGGCCGGGAGCAGCTGGAGGAGGCAGGAGCTGTCTGCCCCTCCTCTTGGCAGGCACCACGATTCACCCCATAATCCCCACAATCCCCTTGCCAGCACAGCGGCCCCAGACCCAGTCACCCCCCCGGCCGGCTCCAGACACGCCAGGTGCGGGGGACATTCAAGAGCCAGGCCACATCGCCACGCCTGGAGACAGACTGACTGCCGAGGGAGGCGAGGGGCTCGGCGCTGCAGAAAGTGAGAGCAGAGGCGAGGCCAGGCAAGGAGGGTGGGCTGAGCAGCCGACACAGCGCGGCGGAGGGGGCCAGCTGGGGAGGCCCGGGCAGCAGGGCTGACCCGGCATGCTGTGGGCACTGGGCTGGGCGGGGCTGCAGAGAGCCGGAGCGATGCCTCCAGGGCGTGGAGATGGAGGCTGAGCCCCGGCACGGGTGTGGGGCAGGAAGTCCGCCTGGGTCAGCAGGGGCACCCCCAGCCATCAAGCTGCACCCCAAGATCTAAACACACCCCTTTGAGTGGGGACAGAGAAGGCGCCCTTGGACACAAACTGTGCTGATGTCCATCCCAAACTACTGTTGCCCAAATGGACATCTCTTCGCAAACCATCCCTGGCTCTGTTCCAGCCCTCTAGCCATGTTTCGGGGCTGACATCAATTCAGTGATCCTCACGCACTGTCCCCACCGTCCACACCCGGCTCAGCGAAGGATCTGTGGAGTTGACTCCCCACAGCAGCAGAGGAGGGGACTCTGCCCGCCCAGCCCCGAGGGAGCAGGACGTGGGAGGGGACAGCAGAAGGGATGAGGTGGGATACGAACCTGCAGCAACTTCCCCAGGAATGTAAACTCTGGGTCCTGCAAAGATTCACGAAAAACTGAGAAGATAAGAGTACAGATCCAGGGTCCATCATCTCTATGTGGTTTGTAAATTTAATGTTTACGAGTTATAATAGTCATATAATTAAATCATATAATGAATTATATACTCTATTTGTAAATTACGTATTAAATATAAAAATACATGGAGATTTGACATGAATCGGCGTAACATAGTGAATGAGTAGCTGTGCGTTTATAATGAGGTACGTTTCTCAGCACACTGAATTCAGTTCTGGATTTGGCTTTGCACCATGCACGGCTCACTTTACAGCAGGGAAGGCGACGAGGGCCAGGGCATGCCGACTTGCATCAGGGTCGGGGTCCTGCGCCTCGGATGTGGCGATAAACACGTGGTCTACAGTCCCTTGGGCCCCTGCAGCCTCTGAGCCAATCTGACATCCGTTTCACAGATGAGGACCCCGAGGGTGGCAAGATGCAGCCCCAGCAGTGACGCCCCTGCCCCGCGCCCCAAATTGCTCCAGGGTGAGGTGCACAGGACGCAGCCTAGGGAGGGGCAGCCACTGGGAGAGAGGCTACTCCTGGGGCCCGGGCATCCACAGCCTGCAAGTCAGTGCAGCGGTAACTGTATTAACTGAACTCAGGACTTTTAGTTACATCTCCAGAACTGATTTTGATTTGCATTTTCCTGGTAATTAAAAGCATTAAAAACAGCCAGGCACAGTGGCACACGCCAGAAGTCCTAGTACTCAGGAGGCTGAGGCAGGAGGACCCACAAGTTGGAGGCCAGCCTGGGCTCCATGGCGAGTTCAAGGCCAGCCTGGCCTATACAGCAAAACCTTGTCTCAAAACAAACAAACAAACAAGACAAAACAAAACCAAAAAAACGGAGTCTTAAACACATTTTCATGTACACGTTGGCCTGTTTTGCTTTGTTGCTGTTGAGCAATAGGAGTTCCTTATTTTTTAGATATTAATTTGGTATGTAATATATAAATTGCAAATATTTTTTCTAATCCTGTAGGTTGCTCTTTCACTTTCTCTCCTTTGCTGTACAGAAGCTTACTGGTCTGATCCAACACCACTTGTCTGTTTCTGCTTTGGTAGGCTGAACTTTTGGTGTCATGTCTGAAAAACTATTGCCTGGACCAATGTCAAGAATCTTTTCTCAGGGCTGAGGCAGGAGGATTGCAAGTTCAAGACCAGCCTGGGCAACTTAGTGACTTAGCGAGATTCAGTCTCAGCAAATAAAAAGGCCTGGGTATGAAGTTCTATCTGAAGGCCCTGGGCTCAATTTCATGTACTGAAAAAAAAGAGAAAAAAGAACCCTTTCCCCTGTTTTCTTCTAGTTGTTTTACAGCTTCAAGTCTTTTTTAAAATTAATTAAGTTTATTAGTATGATTTAGATGCTCATGTATTTAATTCATTTTGAACTTGTTTTTGTTTTAGGCTGAAGAAAAGGTCCAAATATATGCTCCTGTGGGTATCCCTCAACACCATGTCCATATTAAGGAGACCATCCTTTCTTCTTTGTGTGTTCTTGCCACATTTGTCAAAAATCAGTGGGGCCAGGAATTTAGCTCAGTGGTTCCACCGCCTGTCTCGAAAGCGCAAGGTCCCAAGTTCAATTCCTGGTACAAAAAAAATTCAGTGGATTTATAAAAATGAGTGGATTTATAAATGACCTTTCTGTTCAGTTCCTTTGGTCTACATGTTTGTTTTTATGTCAGTAACTTACTGGTTTGGCTACTGTGCTTTGCAGTACTTTATATTCACCCCCCTCTTCCTGTCCCAGACATGGGGATTGAAGCCAGGACCTTGTGCATCCTAGGTAAGTGCTCTTCCACTGATCTGTCTCCATTCCAAGATGCAAAGGGTGTTTATTTGTCATTTGTTTGTTCTGTACTGGGGATCAAACTCAGGGTCTTCAGGCTGAGCTACATTTCCAGTTCTTTTTCTGTTTTTTATTTTGAGACAGGGTCTCACTAAGTTACCCATGCTGGATTCAAACTTTCAATCCTCCTGCCTCTGCCTCCCAGAATGCTGGCATCACAGGTGTGCACCACCACAGCGGGCTGCAATGAGTTTTAATACATTTTTACCAGACAACACAGTCATGATCCCATTCCTGATTATATATAGAAAACCTCTAATGTTTATAAATATAACTGCATGTGAAGTCAAGGGTCAAGGACAAATGGGTGAGACACATGTAAACAGGGTAATTTCTGGAGGCAAGAATCACAAGTAAGCATCCATTTTTAAACTCCTATGAATTTTCTGACAAGAGTACAGCTCATGGATCTTTCCTGTACTACACAAATTAACAAAAATAAGCCTATTAATTTTTCTTCCCTTTTTATATTTTTCATGTCTCTTTCTAGTGAGTAGCAAGCTTTGGTTGTCTGTTGTCAGCTAAGATGTCTCGAGCCCCAGGCAGGCAAGGGAAGAGTCAGTGCTTTTACCAGACACCTCGTGGGTGACTGGGATGAGAAGAAAAGGCAGCACCTCTGTCTTCATGTTGTGTCCTGGCTTCCCTACCTGAACCCCTGGGCCAGGTTTCTACTCAGCTCTGAACATCTGAGAAGTGGTTTTCTGGGAACTACTACGTGGGGTAACTCGGCCTTGGCCCAGACAGCCTCTCTCCTTTGCCTTCAAAGCTAAAGCCGCCTCCCACCTGCCACCACCGGAAACACCAGGCAGTGAAAGGAGGGAAGGGAGGATGACGATTTCCGGGAAGCTCTGGCCACTCCAGAGGTGTGATGACTGTTCCTCCCCTTACCAGTCTCTCTGTCGCTCCATTATTCCTATCCTCTATCTGTTGCGAAGAAAGCCCTGGCGTGTACAAGCTGGTCTGCGGCAGAGCTTCTGCTTCTCCATTCTTTGGCCATGAGTAAAGCCTTCCTTTCCTGAGCCTGGCATTTCCGGGAAGGAGACTCCCAACTTGGGTCCCAGAGTGATAGAGGCGCTGAGAGGCGAAGCTGGGTGAAGTGGGCGGGCCCTGCCAATTTCAAGATAGGGCAGCCCGGACGATTCTCAGCACGTGTATGTAGACCTTCTAGGGCTCGCGGGAGGCGTGGACTGCAGAACGGACACCCCACTCTAGGAGCAGCTCGCTACCGACTCCCCACCGTAGCCCGCCCTGTGCAGGGTGCACTTCTATTTTTGCTTTTACCTTTTCTTTTATTCTTCCCACAACCCTTTACCCCTCACCTTTGGAATAAACTTTTGGCACCGTTTTTGGCTTGGCTTGTCCAATTCTTTGTTTGAGGCAAGAAGGACCTGGAATACTTTTTTTGGTAAGTCATTTCTAAAGGAATTACCCAACAACAAAAGTGTTACTGGGGT